GAATAAATTTAGCTGGAATGTATGAAATTGGATACCTATTATGCTTCATATACAAAAAAATCATAGTTCAGGTACGTTAAGGACTTAAAGTAGACTCAACAACTTAAAAGTTCTTAGAAAACAAAATAGATATTCTTGAGATCTTAAAATTAGCAAGACTGCATCTTCAGTACAAAAAAAATTCTTATCTATTGCCAATAGAAAAGATTGCCAAATTTGATTATGCTAATACATAATTTCATTTTCATCAGAAGATATTAACAAAAATGAAAAAGTTAATTACAAGCTGATTTAGTAATAGGCAAACCAATTGAGTAACACAATACCAACTGGTATTAAAGGAGAGAAAATATTCCAACATATCAGTTTTTCAGAAACCAAATTAAAGCTTATCACATGAAAACTCCAACCAGCTAGACATACTGAGATTGACATGTATGGTAAATGAATGTAAGAAGAATGTGAGAATCAATATTCAGGAAAAAATGCAAGCTAATACCTCGATGAGCTATTGTACACCCATTTCATTGAATAAGATATCTCATTTCATCTTTGGGAATATAAGGTCCTTAAAATTACCAGGTTAACAAGTGGGAATTTGGAAATGTGTCTTGGTGACTTCCCAAACCTACGCTCTACTTTACCACCACCTACTCTTGAAAGAGGTGTCCACCATTTCAGACTCTTGTTGTTTGTCATTATCCTCCGTGTTTGACAGTTCTGGACCCATAAGATTTATTTAACTAATATAGTCTGCCTTTCATGTCCATGTGGTTAGCTTCCAGGATTAAACCTACTGCCGATCAATATCATCTGGGGAAAATGTATCTATATTTGTAATGGTTGATACATTGTGTCAACTTGAGAAGTTTACCTAAGTGACTCAGCAGGGGGCCAGGGGCCTCACTGTGCCCTGTCCAAGAGGAGGGCACAGAGATGGTGTGAGTGCTGCACCCACCAGAGGGCGAGTAGCCAGCATGCGATAAATACAAGGGAGGAAAAGAAGCTTGTTTCCCCACTTTTGCTGTCTTCTGCCACCTTGAATAGTTGCCCCTGTGCCATGCCACACTGCTTTGGAGCTAGCTGATTACAGATTGAATCCTCCACAAACTGTGAGTTAAATAAATCTTTCCTTCCTTAATTTTGGGTGCCAGGTATTCTGTCTTAGCAATGAGAAAAAGTAACTAAGACCATGTTGAACATATACAGACTTTTTTTCTTATCACTGCTCCCAAAACAAAAATTAGAATAACCAATTACATAGCATCTACACTGTACTAGGTGTCACAAGCAGTCTAGGGATGGCTTAAAGTGTATGGGAAGATTGCATCAGTTACAGGCAAATACCACACCACTTTGTTAATAAGGAATTTGAATGTCTGCAAGGTTTAGTATCCTCAGGATCCTGGAGCTCGTACCCCAGGGATATTGTGTTTGTAAATATGAATGAGTGGGACTGGGGATTTAGCTCAGTGGCATAAGCACCTGCCTTGCAAGCAGGCGTCCATGAGTTCGATCCCTGGTACCGATAAAAAGGAAAAAATATTTTTAAAAAAAATGAATGAGTACACTTCCACGAGTTGTAAAACAATATACCCCAGCCCTATCCACAGCATACACTTCATTTGCTGCAAAGATCATCATGAAACACACTGTGGGTCAAAACTGCAGGAAAGGCACTTCTAAAAAGTCTTCGCTTTGCACTTGGTCAAAACGCAATGCTCTGCTTCCCCTCCTTTTTATTTGCCTTATTTCCTGTTTGGTCCCAGAGTGCAATAGTCAAATGTCACAGGGGAAAATGCTAGGTGGTTCGCTACAGTAGCCCATTTGATAATAAACATGAAACCCTAAAAAATGTTTAAATCTCCATCAGTTAGCTGGAGACTCACCTTAACCATAAGGAATTATGGAGAAATATCTGAGAAAATAAATGACACTGGCTTTTGGTACCACTTTTCTCTCCCTGGATTTAGCTGATTGAGAATACAGAGTCAGAGAGAGAGACACTCAAGAGTCCTCATCACTGGCGGTGAAGTTGACACTGAAGATGGTGGGAAAAGCTTCAGGGTGACTGAATATGACCGAGGGGGAGAAGCAAAGTCTCCATCTTCATTTCACGTTAGGTGCAAATAAGTTAAGGCACATTGCAAATAAATATAAATAGTAAAGCTGTGAGCTTTTAGGGCATAATAGAGGACAGTTTCCACATGGTCTTAGGATATTCATCGCTTTATTAACCAGGAAGTTGAGTACGCTATTAAATGCCTCAAAAAGACTGACTTCCTCTACAGCGTTGATGAGACACAAAGCACCAAGAACAACCATGTGTTCAAACATACAGGTGAGATCAAAACATACAGTGAACTGAAACTTAAAGTCTTTTATTAGAGTAGAAGACGTGTTGGCATTCCTCTCCCTCCCAATACTCCCCTCACCTGAACACACTTTTCTCAGTGTCCTTGACACTTTCTGGAGAGTTCCAGACGTCTTCTTCCTTGGATGTCTTTAGTTGTGCTGTTGTGGTTGCCTTGAAGTCTCTAAAGGACTCAAAACCTGTCATGGTCATTGTGGCTCCAGGGAAAGCTGGAAATCACATGATGCTGGATCCTGGGAAGGAGAAAGATGAGGACACTGCTAGGTTTTTGTGAGCTTGCCTTTGTACTGGACAGCAATCAGCAGCGGTCTTCACCACATTTTTGACCACACCTCATAAAGACACTCCTGGGACAGGATTTCTAGAACTGCCTCAGAAAGTGGAAAGAACAACACGAGAAGTGTTTCAAAGTGAGTGGCAGGATTTTGAGGCGGGTTATGCTACGCATCTTCTTCTGTAATACAAATTTTATTTAAATATTCACTGTATATGTTGATCACACTTCCTGTATATTACTGCAATTTCTTGCAAAAGAATTTGGAATGATCTACTATTGTTGGTCTAACACAGTACACAATCTATAATCCAGATGTTTAGTGAGACAAAGTTTCACTGTGTAGTCCATGCTGGCCTTGATATCACTATGTAGTCCAAGCTGGCCTTGAACGCAGGGCAATCCTCCTGCCTCAGCCTCCTGAGTACTGGGATTACAGATGTGTGCCACCACACCTGGCTAACAATCCAGGCATTTAACTTTAAGGATATCTTTTATATAAGAGCCTGCACACCTAGAGCAAAATGTAGACAAAAATATTCAGACGGGCATGATGTAAAATGGCCATCAATGATGCAATGTATTGACACAATGTATTAATGATCCATTATTTAATGGTACCCTCACGCCATGATCAGAAAACAGCAATGGAAATGACCAAATGGTTACATGTGGCAGTGTCAGCAAGTCTTACAAGATAAATTTAAGCAAAAGAAACCAAACAAAATGTGTGTGACCCATAATTTCATTTGGGTAAATTTCAGAATGTGGCAAAACTGTATGTCAACTTACTGGTTACTTCATAGGAAAGAGGAAAAGACTGTAACAAGGAAAATACCATGAAGCCAGTGACCAGGGCGGTGATGGCGAACCTTTAAGAGCTTTCAGTTATAACAAGCAGCCATCTGGGACCCGCATGCCGTACGTTGGCCACCACTGTACTAGAGGATGCATGTAAATGAGTTTCCTGCCATGAATGATGAACACACTATTCCCTTGTCATATTTGGTCAAGCTGCACATAAAAAAAACTATGTCCTTCACTAAGAGGACATTGTCCTTCCATTTCTTAAAAATATATCTGAGCAACTACATTGAAGATAACAATACACCATACATTAACCATTGCTAATCTCCTGTTACCTTGTTTTGAAATTCTGTATCATTGTTTTTAATCTTGTTTCCTTTTAAAATAAAAAATGAAGGGGCCTAAGGCACCCTCACATGGCACATACTTCTCTCATTTTATCATGGTGGGCACATAGAGGGTGCCCCACCTCAAGTGTCTGATCCTGCTGCTAAACAGGGTTAGGTTAGCAACTAAATTGTTTGACATTTTCTGAATCCTATCTTTTCTCAAAGTGCATGCTGTTCTATAAAATATATCCTTAAAGTTACTTTTCTCATTGTTGGGATGAAATGCCAGATACCCACAAGTTACAGAAAGAAAGGTTTCTTTACCACACAGTTTTAGAGGTTTCAGTCCACAGTCAGCCGGCTCCAAGACAGGGCAGCATGGCAGGGGAGAAACAGTCCATGCCAGGCAGACAGGAAGCAGCAAAGCAATGTGCAGCCAAAAGAAGCAACAAAAGCAGAAGCCTGACTTTCCCCTTACTCCTATCCAGGTTACCAGCCTTTCGGGTGGCACTACCCAGAACTGTGCTACTCAAATCAGGGAACTAATTGGGCACCACAGGCTCTAGATACACCCAGCTCCAAAAGGCCCACTTGTGAGCACCTCCAGCTTTGGGAGGATATCTAGATACAAGTCATAACACCCTCCACCATGTTTCTTCCTTCGGCCTCCAGTTTGGGTGCCACTTGGTACTGAGAAACATGGTTCCACCATTTTCCACCCACACATCCTTGGATGACACTGGCACAAATAACACAGAGGTTACTGCAGACAGACTGGCCTAATGTCAACTCCAAAGGGCAGCTGCTCCAGAGGACTCACTCGGACCCAGGCATGGTGCAGTCCATGACGATGCACAGGTCAGCACCATGGCTCTCCACACACACACTCGCTGTCCACACAGGATCAAAGAAACCCGCTGTAAAGGCACAGCTCCCAGCACCGCTTCTGCCAAGGACCTATCAAAGTACACGTGACAGGGAGGCCAGGAAGGAAGCTAATGATGGTTTCTAGAAGCATTCCCCCTGAATCAGGCACAATTAGCTGTTCATGAATGGTAACAGGGTAAGAACACTTAGTGAAGAGCTTCCTCCTTAAGACATTTCCTCATAAACTGCAGAAAACAAACAAGGAAAACTGTCCTTATTGGTCCATGTGTGTAGGGTCAGTGTATAAAAGACCCCGATGGGAAGAAGTCAGCACATCCTGAGAAAGTCACCTGTGACCAGGAACCGCCCTCCACACCTGACACCATGACCCACTCCTGCTGCTCCCCTTGCTGCCAGCCCACCTGCTGCAGGACCACATGCTGCAGGACCACCTGCTGGAAACCAGCCTGCATCACCAGCTGCTGCAGCGCCCCCTGCTGCCAGCCCAGCTGCTGTGGCCAAACCAGCTGTGGCTCCAGCTGCTGCCAGCCCTGCTGCTGCCCAACCTGCTGTCAGACCACCTGCTGCACGACCTGCTTCAAGCCCAGCTGTGTGACCAGCTGCTGCAGCACCCCTATCTGCCAGCCTAGGTGCTGCGTGTCCAGCTGCTGCCAGCCCACCTGCTGTCAGCCCACCTGTTGCCAGCCCAGCTGCTGCCAGTCCATCTGCTGCCAGCCAGCCTGCTCCGGGCCCGTGTACTGCACCAGAACCTGCTACCACCCCACCTGCGTCCACCTGTGTAGTGGCCTCCCTGAGAGCTATGGATCCGGCTGCTGCCAACCTGGCTGCTGTTGACCCTGCTATCTGTCACACTCCACCTTTCCATCAGCTGATCCAACTCTTGTGAGTGAGTCACTCTCCGGCCCCTGACAACAAGTCTTGCTTGTCTTCTTGTAGAAGGTCTTAGCATGTGCCTGCTGTGAGATGCACCTGGCTTTGCTTCTCCTGCCCTTTCATCCATGTTCTAGCTTCTGGTCCATCTTATCTACTCTTGACCTTGAGTCATGGTCCTTATATGGCAAAAACCAATTCTCTTCTGTTGTCTCCAAGCAACCTAAAAAATAAAAACAAATGTTTATTTTTCTTTACTCTCCCATGGATGAGTGATTAGCGTTTAATATTTCCTCAGTGTATTCCCCATCTTGTGGCCTACACTTCTCCCACTGTGGTCATCTTATTGTCTCCCCACTGCAGGGAGTCTCTCCTTGTTATTTCCAAATAAATCTGCATCTCACTGCATGTTGTCCCGTGTTTTGTTTTGTTCTCTAGAATTCCCTTTATACGCAGTTCCATTCATACTCCTTTCTACCTCTACCACCCCTTTGGAGCCCCACATTTACCTCACAGGGAATCGCGGGCCAAGAACACCTCTGGTTTCCTAAAGCTGAGAAGAGTTTCTGGTTCCGTATTGTGGCTCATTGCCCAGCTCCTCTTACTTTATCTCACCGATCCAGAACCTTACCTCCTACACCAAGGGGCGGTAACTACACTCTGAATGTGTGACCTTGCCTGGCTCTGGCTTCTCTTAGTGAGGACAGCTTCACCCTTTGATATGGTAAACACGTTTCTGTGCTCAATTAGAGAAAAGTGGGGAACCAGGAAAGAAGGAACTGTATACAAACACACATTATAGTTAGCAGTGAAGGAAAACAGGAGGTGCTAAATGCTCCCCAGTTTGCTGTTCTACCTCTCTCTCTCTCTCTCTATCTATCTATCTATCTCTATCTCTGTCTCTATCTCTGTGTTGTTTCTGTGAACAGCCTAGGCCACCCAGGGCTAGCAGGAGCAGAGGCCATTGTGCCTGGCAGCTCGGCTGGCAGCCAAGACTCCTGCTCTGGGTGCAGCTGAGCAGCCATATAAGGCCTTTGGGAGAAAGTATGGGTGGGCAGGAATCAGGGCTGGTGCGTACCTAGTAGATACTGAGTTCTCTGCTTTACGTGCACTGTCTCATTCTCACAGAACCCTGAAAAGGAAGTCGTACTGCACTCAGATACTCTGAGTACATGCAGCTGAGCAAGTAATGTACACACCAGCTCTCGCAGCTGCACAGCTCATGAGCAGCCTGATCACGTCTACGAAATAAGGTGTTTCTATAGTATCTGACTTAGAAGGCACAGGAAGAGACCAATCCTGTCACTTTGTGGCCAATAAAATCTGACAGGTAAAAATGGATGGTGGTGCTTTACATTTATCTAATGTTGTGAAAAATTTGGAGAGGAGAGGAGTAGAAAGGAGGTGAGAGGAGCAGGAGGGAGAGTGGCAGAGCATGGGGGTGAATGTTTGACTAGTGATTCCGAAGCCCAGGGATACACACTACTGTTTGCAACATCTGTAGGGGGAAAAGGAATAAAAATGGAGTAGATAGACTGTGCTTGATGATGGTGACTGCAATACAGGGAGGGTGTGACCTCAAAGCAGCCCACAAAATGATGCAAATAGAAATGAGAGGCAATGAGAATGTCAGTTAGTTCATGAGGGCTCCGTCCTGTCAAATGGCGTGTAGGAAGAGCACAGCTGTTTGGGAAATGCCTCTGAACGTGGTCATAATGATAAAGAAGAGTTGGCGTAGTCCAATAAAAGGAGCCTGGGGAAAGTGGCCAGGATGAAGGTCTTCCCAGCAAGGCAGAGTCTGCATGCCATGCTTGGGCCGAAGGATTTCTGCTTGGTGGGAAGGTATGATCCTAGGATCAGGAGCAAATGGATGTGATTTCCTAGAAGCAGGCACCAAGGAGAAGACCGTTAATGAGAGTGGAAACCCAGAAAGAGTGCCACTCTGGCTGTATAACCACCAGTGACCCCCAAGAGGAAATATGTCAGAAGCTTATAGCATAAAATTCAGTAACAAAAAATAAGCTTTAGTACACCTAAATAGAATAAGCTACTATGAGGTTCTGAGTTCAGCCTTCATGAAAGCTGAGCACCACCTGGCAGGATATTGCATCAAGGAACAGTAACTTTAGGTGAGTGTTATGGCTTGTGCTTAGATGCCCCCTCAAAGCCTCATTCAGTCATACGTGGGGCTTTTCGGAGGTGGCTGGATCTAGAGCGTGTGATACCAAGATTAAGTGTATGATATGGGCATCAAAGGTGATTACTAAATTATCCCACTGATTGGTTTGGCTGATTGATCTGAGTGTGGATAACAGGAAGACCCGTGCCAGGTGTGAGTACTGCCCTAAGGGTGATAACCTGAGTACATTACAGAGGGACAGAAAGAATATGCCATTTGCTGCGTCCACACTTCTTTGATGCCTTCTGCCCACCATGAATCATTTCTTCTTTGTTTGCACCACTCTGCCTTGGAGCCAGCCAACTATGCACACAAATGCTCCAAACTGTGAACTAAATAGAGCTTTCTTCTTTTAACCTTCAGTGCCAGGCATTTTGTTTCAACAATGGGAAAAGTAACTGAAACAGAAAATGATCATTATTGGACATGTGCTCCTCCCGTTTGGAGACCATTGCTATGTGTCTCTCATCTTTCTGCAGAGTTGCTCCTATAAAATTAAAATAAAAATTTTAAACATAATTGCTTTGTTTTCCACCAGCAATTTAAATTATTCCATGCATTTAATCACCTTAACACAAGAAAATAAATCCTGATTGCCTTAATAAGAACATATAAAGAATTTTACACCTTTGAACACATTTTGCAAGATTTAAAATATTCTAGAAAATTGGCATTAGGCAGAGCCCTTCTGGTTACAAAAAAAAAAAAAAACCTCATAAAAGTAGGATGGTATGAATCAACACAGCAAGGAAAGACTTCCAACATTTTCCTCTGTAAAAGCATTAAGAAAACTAGCAAAAGTGATGGAGAATAATGTTTTCAAGAATCTGAAAATAGCCAAAATCTTGAAACAATCTGAGAGTATTCATTTAAGAAAAATACATGTGTACATTGTGATTTAAAAAAAAAAAAAAAAACAGTGACTTTTGTGTCATTTTACCTTGTCCTAATTCCATGCGTCTTCCCAGCTTCATATTTGCCTCCAAATCTGACCACCTATTATCATGGTAAAAACCAGCAGCCTGCAGTGACTGAGGTCAGCTCAGCCTGCAGCCAGGGCTCTTCCTAAATCCATTCCAAGAGTACTATCATCAACTGTCTTATCAGGCAGTTCTCTGGAACCCTCTCTTACCAGGCTATAGTTTGAGCTGTCTCCAATCTTGCTAAGTCTGAAGGGCCTTTTCCTCAGAGGCATTTGCTGCACACCAGTAGAGGCAACTGTTTAATGTCATACCCACTCAGAGGCAGAAGACAGCTGGGAAGTACCAGAAAGCAACATTTACATGGGCCTCAATAAGCACTTATGTATCCCTAGGAATTGAGGAGGTGAAGCACACACAACAAGCTATGTGTGTGTCCCACAAGACCCGAGAAGAACCTAGGCTATGAGCTCTGGCTGAAGCTCTGTGGTTCCCACAGGAAGTGAAGGCTAAGGCAGAGCTGCCTGTTGTCTGATTGAATGTGAACTGTGAGCACACATCTAGCATGTACACAAAGGCCTCAGCAATGACCAGGAGATTGCACGATGTTGGTTGGAGGTGTTTAAGAAGTTTCCAATTATTAGCTGAAAATTATCATTATTTTTATTATTATTATTATTTCAGTAACCATACACATTAACTTAACAGAATTAACAACAAACAAACTAAAAGGAATTCTGATCTCCAAAAGTGCTACATTGTTACTGTAAAAGTCTAGTTTTCAACTTGAAGATGACATAGAAAGATGTAAGAAAGAATCACACACACACGTGCGCACGCATGCATGCATACCCATAGGGGACATTAGAGCTTCAGTTCAGCACAGAATGCTGATTCAGAATCCTGGCTTATTCCTGGCTCTTTCCACCTGGGAAAAAAAATAAATAGAATCAATTAAAGCTGTATTTTAAATGTAATGGTAACAAGTAAAACAGTAAAGTTTTTAAAAGATAACAGAGAATGTTTTCTTAATGTTGGGCTACATAAAGATTTGGTAACCAACTCTAAATGTACCCTTAAGGAAGTGTTAGAATTACTGGGTTGCTAAAAGTATTACATGTTAAAGCAAGAACTTTTACTTACTGAAAGACAACATTGTGCACATACAATAAAATAAAAGACAACATGAAGAGAATAAAAGACAAACACACTAGAAGACATAGGGTAAAATGTCTTCAGCAGATACACTTTAAATACAATGTGTGCACAGGACTGCAATACCTTCTCCCCTCTTCCTCCTTGTTCCTGTGTGTCTATCAGTGTGGCTTGGCTTAATGTAATCATCTTACATGTTTTATGTGTTATCTGGCCTATTAGCCTGGTTTTCAATCTGTATGTGTTATAATTGACTTCATAAGTTCTTTTAAGATAAATAAATGAATCTGATGCAGTAAAAGTAAGAGGTATCACAGCAAGGGAGTGAAAAGAAGGGAATTGAAATGTGTTATGCACATGCACCAATCCCCTACAGTGATTAAAACTGAAAACATGTGCTAATAGAAGTAAAAAAGAAACTTAAAAAAAATACACAATAAATGTGGCACTCTACTGATTCCACATCTATATGTGATATCTGTAATAACAATCTCTGTGGATACAGCTACATAGACATATACAGATCTCTGTTGGGTTATATAGATATCCAACTCACATACCCAGAATCCATGCAATCAGTACAACACTAACAATGGGGAAGAAAAGACTTGGATAGGCGCCTAAAGGTCTTGGATAGGCGCCTCACACTAAAGGAAAAGGAACAGCAAATGCCTAATACACGTTAGCCATCAGACAAAAGCAAATCTAAGGCACAAGCATGCTCTGTAGAATTCAGAAGTCTCAAAATGTCAGTCAGGGGCTGTCGGTGTCGCTCCCGGCCGGCAGGAAGAACACGCGACAGTATCGGCGGTGGTCAGGCTTTTCTTTATTCTCCTTCTCCACACAGTCTGCCCCGGGATTCTTCCCGGCCGAAGCCTCTACCGGTCCGCTCTCCGCGGCTCCTTCCGTGCTTCTCCTCTACAGTCTGTCCCGAAGCCTCTACCGGTCCGCTCTCCGCGGCTCCTTCCGTGCTTCTTCTCTACAGTCTGTCCCGAAGCCTCTACCGGTCCGCTCTCCGCGGCTCCTTCCGTGCTTCTTCTCTCATGGCGGGAGAGGCACTCACTTTTATAGGGTTACAGTGGCCAATCAGTTCAAAGCGCGCGATGCGGGCTGATTGGCTAACATCAGTTGTTGCTGATTGGCTAACATCAGTTGTTGCTAGGCAGACTATCTTACAGAGCGGGTTGTTTACCAAGCAGGAAGCAGGAGATAAGCGCCATCTTAGCACACTCGATGGGAGGGGTAATCTAGCTCAGGCTTTGCTCTTTCTTACAGGCCTCACGTCCGCCAAGTAAGGCGACCGGGCTCGGCTGCGGCTCCCAACATCTCCCCCTATTTTATTTTACAAGAACGAGCGCATCGCAGCCCATCCTGGATCGAGCATAGAGGCCAACGCCCTGTATCTGAGGCCCACCGCAAGCCTTTGGGTTGGAACCTGGGCGGCCGTCCCAGGGTCCACCAAGGCCTTGAGGCCCTCGTCCTTTTTTCCAGGGCCAGGGATAGGTCAGACGGAACCTGGGTGCACATAGGCATACGCTCACGTCTCTCCTTATGATCCCCTTTGGAGAGGCATCTAGATTCGGGGTGGAATCTAGCGATCCAGCGGCTTTCGTGCGATGTGGGGTAGGGCCTGGCTTAGGTCGAGTCATGCTGGGGTGGCATGCTCTTACCCATCATTGACTCACCTACCCTGCTATATATTGTCACCTTAGGGAGGAGAATGTGGGAAGCCTGTCACTTTTAAACGCGGTCGTAGGCCATGCGAGCGAGCCATGCATATACAAGGGTAGCACATAGGGGAGCAAGCCGTTCCAGGCCCCCAAAAAGGGATTGTCCTGCAGTTCTTATAGGGCTCATCTTGTTGTTGGGTCTGCGGTTGGCCTCTGGTGGAACAGGCCTGATCCTCAGTCGAGGGACTTGTCGCACGCGTCAACCTCTCTGGGACCCACAGTGGTTCTCGTCCCAATCCCTGCGGAAAGACACAAACCGCGCCTCGGCTTCCTCTTTTGTATCTCTGCCCTCCTTGACGGACCCTTCTCGGGAGCTTCCTGACTGTGCCTGTTCAAACACCTTGCGTACTTCTACAAGTTCTTGAGAGCTCCCCCCGTAACTACCCTCACTCTTTAGGCACGCGTGTATCATTTCCCACAACGGACGAGCAGAGACCGAAGCTCTACCCTCCCGTTCTGCTAGGGAAAGGTCTCTGCCCAACTTTTTCCAGGAGGGTAGGTTTACATGCCCTATAGGCAGAAACCAGGGAGCAAAGCTGTCAATTTCTGCAAGGAAATTTTCTAAAGTCTTACGCCCCACCTTGAGGTCCTTGGACTTTAGGAGTCTCCGAAGGACCAACACCAAGGGCTGAGCATCTTTGTCCAGTATGTATTTATATCTTGTTGTGTTCTATTATTTTGACTCACCTCGTGAGGCCTAGGAGACCGGCCACTTACGCGTGAGCTCGAGAGGAGTCTAAAAACCCTGTAGGTGCGTGCCACCCAGGGCCCAGGTTTATCCTCTACTCACCTGTCCTGCAGCACTGTATCGGAGACTGCTGTCCACTGCCACGTCTCGGGGCTGATCAGTTCCCCGTACGGGCCACCAGATGTCAGTGTCGCTCCCGGCCGGCAGGAAGAACACGCAACAATATCTGGCAGTGGCTAGGCTCTCTTTATTTTCCTTCTCTGCACAGTCTGCCCCGGGATTCTTCCCGGCCGAAGCCTCTACCGGTCCGCTCCCCGCGGCTCCTTTCGTGCTTCTTCTCTACAGTCTGTCCCGAAGCCTCTACCGGTCCGCTCTCCGCGGCTCCTTCCGTGCTTCTTTCTCTACAGTCTGTCCCGAAGCCTCTACCGGTCCGCTCTCCGCGGCTCCTTCCGTGCTTCTTCTCTCGTGGCGGGAGAGGCACTCACTTTTATAGGGTTACAGTGGCCAATCAGTTCAAAGCGCGCGATGCGGGCTGATTGGCTAACATCAGTTGTTGCTGATTGGCTAACATCAGTTGTTGCTAGGCAGACTATCTTACAGAGCGGGTTGTTTACCAAGCAGGAAGCAGGAGATAAGCGCCATCTTAGCACACTCGATGGGAGGGGTAATCTAGCTCAGGCTTTGCTCTTTCTTACAGGCCTCACGTCCGCCAAGTAAGGCGACCCGGCTCGGCCGCGGCTCCCAACAAGGGGCTCTCTGTTAACGTGAACTACATATCTTCCTTCTGATCCAACAGCTTTAAACCTGCATGTTTACCACAGAGAAGGGAAAAAGAAAAAATCATGGCAGATCACTCCCCGGCTTGTTCAAATGTGTAAATTTACAGATAAAAATATTACAGATGTCATTTAATGGAGCCTATTTCCTCCATTTATAAAGGCAGGAGGACAAATTGTGCTAACTTTTATATTTATGTCTAAAAAGCTCCAGCATATCTCGCTCACTTAAGTGACCATGCCAGATAGAGGTGGAGATGAATGCTGATGTGCTGATGGCTCTTGACACCTGGTGTGCAGCTGCTGCCTGTCTCTTGCTCTAGTGCAATGCGCATATAGAAAAGGTTCTGCCCATCCCCGAGTTCCTTGGACAGAAATGGAATCTAAGTACAGGGCAGGGTGCCACAGATTGGGTTGTTTGTTGCAACCTTGAGTCAGGCTTTTCTGAGTAATCAGCCTTGCTTGGATCCAAGCAGTAATTCAATTCATCACAGAAGGAATCGTCTAGAACCCAGACCCTTTGTGTCACTTTGCAATCTAAGTATAGCTAAAGGACAAAGGTCCAGGAGGAACCACTGTTCTGACTCTCCTCACACTAACAGGGGCAAACACTGAGCTGACACTGTTACATAAGCAGAAGTCATGCCGAGAGTGCCTCTTGCCCCTTATTTCTGGAAAAGACTTCCTAAATAGCATTTGCAATTAAGAAAAGACTGTAGGGGCTGGGGGTTTAGCTCAGCGGCATAAGCACCTGCCTTGCAAGCAGGCGGTCGTGAGTTCGATCCCCGGTACCGATAAAAATGAAAAAGACAAAAAAAAAAAGAAAAGACCGTAACACTAATTTCACAAACTCCAAAACACTCAGGGGACAACTTCCTTATTGACAGTGCATCAACAACACAAATAACAACAACAAAATACAAAGAAAAATCCAGCTCATTGGCTCCAATATGGGGAGTCCAGGGTATAAAAAGTCCAGATGGGAAGAGGTCCTCACATCCTAAGAAAGTCACCTGTGACCAGGACCCACCCTCCACACCTGACATCATGACCCACTCCTGCTGCTCCCCTTGCTGCCAGCCCACATACTGCAGGACCACCTGCTGCAGGACCACCTGCTGGAAATCAGCCTGCATCACCAGCTGCTGCAGCGCCCCCTGCTGCCACCCCAGCTGCTGTGGCCAAACCAGCTGTGGCTCCAGCTGCTGTCAGCCCTGCTGTCAGACCACCTGCTACACTACCTGCTTCAAGCCCAACTGTGTGACCAGCTGCTACAGCACCACTATCTGCCAGCCTAGGTGCTGTGTTTCCAGCTGCGGCCAGCCCACCTGCTGCCAGCCCAGCTGCTGTTAGTCCAGCTGTTGCCAGCCCAGCTGCTGTCAGTCCAGTTGCTGTGACCAAGGCAGCTGTGGATCCAGCTGCTACCAACCCTGCTCCCAGCCCACCTGCTGCAGGACCACCTGCTGGAAGCCCACCTGTGTGACCAGCTGCTGCAACTCCCCCTGCTGTCAGCCCAGCTGCTGACCAGCTCCCCATGGGCCACCATCATCAGAGGGCACTGACTCTGTCGACAGCCCATGTCTCCCACTGAGCCTGCTCTTACAGCTCTGCTTATATAAAACTTGGCAATCAGCTGATGGTATGTGAGGCACTGCATCCTGCTTTTCCTCTTTCCCACATCCTGTGGGTCAAGTGTCATCTTCAGATGTCCTGGATCTGAAGCTACAGTTTCAGCTTTGACTCAATTTATGAACTTGGCTCTCTTTCTTTATGTAACTTCCAGCACCCCTCAAAGCTGTCTCACTGATTTATGTAACTGATTAACAGTCTTCGTAATTGTGCTGTCTTCTTCAGTGTACCCACATTTCTGGTGTCCCCTGCCTCGCTCTATTCGTGATCACTTTGGATTACCTGCCTGTAGCAGGACTCTTGCCTGTATACATCTTAATAAATTCTGGACCATCACTCATCACACATTGCATTTCACTTTATTGTGTAGAAGGCTGGGATTTAAACCGACTTGCAGATTGCCTACTAGGTGCATATTTCTTTCTTAGTATCCCGTTACCTCAATTCTTCAGTTAGAAACAGAACATATGGCCGTAATGCAGAGACTCAGAGCAGGACAAGGTCTCATGTGTCTGCTCGGGACACTTACAATGACATCTTAAGACAGGAAGAGGCCTCAGCCTTTGGTTTCTAGGGCCTGCCCAGCTGTGATTTCTGTCCTTGATTGCTTGTGGCTATTACCAGGTACAGACACACCAGGAGATGCAGCAGGCCAGCAAACTGCCTCAGCTCCAAGCACAAGTCCCTGTCCTCCACGGTAATTATCCTTGGCTAAATAGCAACACCTTTTTCTTTCATCTCAACTATTCACACAAGGAACTCAGAGTGACCAAGTGGCAGACATAACTTGAGATTGGGATCCCTGGCAGAAACATCCCTTTCATGGGGACAAAGCCTTCCTGAGAGACTGAGTCCCTGACAGAGGGAAACGCAAATTGCCATCTAGGTTGGGACTTGGAGAGGGGGGCTCAGTCCCTCAGCAGTAGCCACGGACAGGACAGCTGCTCCCTGGACACCTGCTAAAGATGAAATGACCCAACTATTCTGTTCCATTATCCATTAAGGCTCTGCAAGAGTCAGCTGGTGCTGCGCTGGACACTGCAGCCCTGAGTCACCAGCTCACACTTCGCTGTGCTGTCCGTGGTGGATGCCCTGTTGTGTCTCATTAACGCCTTGGTCAAAGGCTGATGATTTGTAAATTTTAAGGATATCATAGTCTCTCTTTGTCTATCATTTCACTTCTCATGGTTTTAGTTACCTGAGTTCATTCACAACCTGGAAATATTATGAAAAATACCATATCCACATACATGTGGTTACGTCACAGGGTCCAGTTGCTGTTTTATTATTAGTTATTGCTAACACCTTACTATTTCTAATTTGTAAACTAAACTGTAGCACGGGTATGAACACACAGGAAAACACCACACAATCCACACAGAGCTCAGCAGTAGCCACAGTTTCAGGCCTCTGCTAGAGGTCTAGGGACATAGCTCCCTAAGACAAGGTAATGGAGTCCTACGTTAGTTTGTGTTAACCAGAGATAAACGAAAGCCCCCCCCCCCAGGTTATTGTTGGGGGACTTTTTCTGCTAAAAATGGGGATAATGAATCTGATCTCTTCCTGGGCTGTCCCTTAAAATGTAAGGGCTGCAGAAGTAGCTGCTGAGCAGCACAAAGGAGAAGAAAGACACTTTCGGATGAACCCGCAAGAGAGCATGAAGTGTAACATGGATGTGAGGAAAAGAAAGAAATGCTTAGGAAAGAGGATGACACAAGGTGTGTGAAAGACTACTCACGAGGTGTCCTAAAAGTAGTACATGGTTTCCTGTTTGGGGACCACAGCTAGCGCACAGGACAAGCACCATGCACCTCCAAGTGACTATGATTCCCAATCCAGGGTCTGCTGCCTTTTTCCACAACAAAGGAGATGAGACAAGAGATGAACAGATGCCCAGCTCCAGGACAGTTCTGCATAGAGCAGAGATGGCACCAACTGGAGGAGCCTCAGAAGCGGCCATAGGTAGAAATAAGGGCCAGTAATGATGTCCAGAGAGTTTATGAAAAATGGCATTCCACTGAAACGAAATCTAGTGCTTTTAGAATACTTAGAGAAACTGCTCTGAATCTAATATTTTAAAAAAATTAAAAGAAAGAAAGAGATTAAGATAAAAGAGAACATAACAACATAATAACACAGGTCAGAACAGAACAATTTAAGCAACATAGTATTTCACCACAAGATAATCCAACATTACAGTAGCTACCATAGTGTTTCTTTCCTTGAAATATTTGAGTATAACTTCATATATTATAGCACCAAACACAACATGACAGTGTAAAACCATTCAAGAGAATGAAAATATTACAGGATATTTAGAACCAACTAACAGAAAATGAACAATGGTTTCTATATTATCTCCTTTATAAAAAATTTTGTTTATACTATCACATATAATAAAATCCAGTAAGATACAACATGATAAATCAACAGAGAGAGAAGAACAAAAGCTTCATGGGACTTCAAAATAAGATGATATCAGCACTAGCTATTATATTGTCTTGTTTTCTTCAAAATAACTGTTCATACATTCACCAACAATAAAATCAAACAACCCAGAATAGAACCATTCCAATTAATGAAAACATTATGAGGCTTCAAAGCAATATAATGGGGAATCATGTTTACTGCATACTTTTGTGTATTCTTACCATTTCTTACACTAGGGAAACCATTTGGTATTCATACATGTGAGTTTGATTTATTTCACTTATGAGTATGGTGTCTAGCTATGCCCATTTATTTATAAATATCTCAAATGTGATCACTCTCTATAGCTGAATAGTACTCCATTGTATAAAAATACAACCTTTTTATCCATTCCTCAGTTGATGGACACTTAGGTTGTTTCCAAGATCTGGCTATTACAAATTGTGCTGCTATGAACATGGGTGCACATACATCACTGTGATATGATGTTTTCAGTTTTTCTGGGAATATGCCTAAAAGTGGAATAGCTGGAACAAATGGGACTTCCAATCTCAGCTTTTTGAGAAATCTCCAGACTGACCTCCACAATGATTGCACTAGTCTATGCTCCCACCAACAGTGCAGGAGAGTTCCTTTTCTCCCACAGCCTCTCCAGCATTTGTTGTTGGTAGTTTTCTTGATCCTGGCCATTCTTTCAGGAGTGAGATGGAATCTCAGTGTGGTTTTAATCTGCATTTCTCTAATGAGTAATGATGATGAACATTTTTTCATGTATTTATTTGCCATTTGTATTTCTTTATCTGAAAAATGTGTATTCATCTCAGATGCCCATTTTTGGATTGGATCTTTGAATTTTTGAAGTCTGATTTTTTTTAATTCTTTATATGTTTTAGACAGAAATCCTTTGTCTGAGGGACAGTTCACTAAGATTTTTTCCCAATTTGTGGGTTTTCTTCTCACTATGCTGGAGATTTCTTTTGACGTGCAGAAACTTTTTAATAAGAGGTGATCCCAATTATTGATTCTGGGAAGTATCTCTTGTGTAGTTTGATTCCTGTTCATGAATTCTCTATCTACCCCTATGTCTTTAAAGTTTTTACCCAATTTGTCTTCCAATAGATTTAGTGTTTCTGTTTTAATATTCAGATCTTTGATCCACTTAGATTTTAATTTAGTATATGATGATAGGCATGGGTTTAGTTTTAGTTTTCAGCATGTGGAGAGCCAAGTTTTCCAACACCATATATTAAAGATGCTGTCGTTCTTCCAGTGAACATGTTTGGCCCCTTTATCAAAAATAAGTTGGTTGAGTGTGTTTGTAGTTGTGATTGTATCTTCTAATCTATTCCATTGATCTTCGGCTCGGTTTTTATTCCAGTACCACGTTGATTTTACTACAGTTGCTTTGTAGTATAATTTCAAGTCAGGGACTGTGATGCCTCCTTGCCTTTGCTGCTTAGAACAGTCTTTGCTATTCTAGGTTTCTTCTGGTTCCAGACGAATTTTAGGACTGATTTCTCTAGATCCATAAGGTATGTTGGTGGTATTTTTATTGTGATTGCATTGAATCTGTATAGCAGTTTTGGGAGAACGGCCATTTTCACAATATTTATTCTTCCTATCCATGAGCAATGGATGTCTTTCCACTTTCTGAGATCCTCTTCAATTTCTTTTTTTCAGTGTATTATAATTTTCCTTGTATAGGTCTTTCACTTTTTTCGTGAGAGTAATTCCTAAATATTTCATTTTTTTTGTTGCTAGTGTGAAGGGTGTGGCTTCTCTTATTTCTCTGTCAGTGATTTGGTTGCTAGTGTATAGGAATGCTATTGATTTTTGAGTATTGATTTTGTATCCAGCTACATTGCTGAATTTATTTGTTATATCTAGGAGTGTTTCAATGGAGATTTGGGGATCTTCTATGTAAAGTATCATGTCATCCGCAAATAATGCTAATTTAACTTCTTCTGTTCCTATCTTTACCCCTTTTATTTCTCTCTCTTGTCTAATTGCTCTGGCTAGTATTTCCAGTACTATATAAAATAGGAGCGGTGATAAGGGATATCCTTGTTTTGTGCCTGATTTTAAGGTAAAGGCCTTCAATTTTTTGCCATTTAGTAATGTACTGGCTGTTGGTTTGTTGTAGATGGCCTTTATTATATTGAGGTAAAGACCATCTATTCCAATTTTCTGTAAGGTTCTTATCATAAATGAATGTTGGACCTTATCAAAAGCTTTTTCTGCATCTATAGAAATGATCATCTGATTCTTACTTTTGGCTTTATTGATATGGTGGATTACATTTATTGATTTATGTATGCTGAACCACCTCTACATGCCTGGGATGAATCCCACTTGGTCATAGTGTATAATCTTCTTGGTGATTTGCTGCATCATATTTGCCAATATTGTATTCAGGATTTTTGCATCTGTGTTCATTAGGGAGATTGGCCTGTAGTTCTCTTTTT